TGTGCAGGGGGCGTTTCGCTCGAGCGGGAAGACTGTCGCTCAAGCGAAGTACATTTTAGATAGCGGTTAACCTGGAACCGCTATTATATCGTTTCAATTATGATCGATCAGAATGCAATTATGACCGATCAGAACTCTTTTAATCGATTAATTCTGGTTTCAATCGATTAAAACAATTTCTGCACAACGTTTTAATCGATTAAAACTTATTTTTATCAGTTAAAATAACTTGAAAAGTCAGTTAAAATAACTTGAAAAGTTTTACAAGAAAGTTTTGCAATATTTCAATCGATTGAATCGCGAAACAATCTATTAAATCAACTTAGAAGATTTTTTGTAAAGTGTTTATTGTCACCACAGTTGCAGGTCGCTTGGATTCAAGGTGGTTGAGGTTTGGGTTAGGGTTCGAGGTCAGCTGGGTTTGCATTGGGTTTGACTGCACGACGACTGGAGTTTGGCTTCAGATTAGGGTTTGATGCTGCCGGAGATGGGTTTGGGCCTCAAGTTCGTCGAGGTTGAGGCTGGGGTTGAGTTTGGAATTCGCTTGGGGATGGACAAATGAAAGGTCTAGGTTAAGCTCGAACAAGTATGCTCGCTTGCTGTCTTGTTCTCTGCTGCGAACTAGGATCGCTCGCCAACTAGGTCGATTTGAGCAATAATTTTTGCGAACATATTACCCATATTTGGGGACAAGGGGCGGAACAACCTCTCGATCCGCTTAGTGCAGCCCAGGAATAAAAATGTCGGTTAATGCACGAAGAAGATGAAGAAGATGAAGAAATACGCGAAGAAGATGAAGAAAATTTGGGGCGCGAAGATGAAATTTTCGTACCTAGGTCGGATCCTACAACGTGAAAAAAATAAAAAATTACCACTGAAAAACAAAAATAATTACATAAATTAAATATAGATTAATTAAAAAAATAAATTAAATAATAAAGTGACTCGAAATAGTAACCGATTTTATGTGACCGAAAATTCGGTTACTATTTCGAGCTACTAGACTAAAAAATAATAATTTGGTTACTGATTCTGGTCATCGATAGTAACTAAATTTTTCGATCATCGATTTCGGTTACTATTTGACATTTTTCTAGTAGTGTTTGAAATATCAATTCAATAATTAAAATAATTTTAATTTTTTTATAAATACATTGAAATAGATTTTTATTAACATGAAAGTAATATATATATATATATATATATATATATATATATATATATCAAAAAGAGACTAAATTAATAATTACTTTAATGATTGATTTAGTGATCGAATCTAGTGACTAATTTAATAATTAAATTTAATTTTTTTATTCACATACTAAATTAAAAAATAAAATCAACTAATTATATTACTAAATTATTTAATAAGTTAATAAATTATTTTTTTAAATTTTTATAATGTTATTAAAATTTTTATCAATTATTTTAAATTATTAAGTAGATTTATATTTAATATATTATTAAAATATTTTTTAAAAATATTTATATAAATAAAAAATGGTCACTAATTTATAGATTATTTGTTTAGTGACTCGAAATTTTAGTCACTAAATCAATCACTAAATATAAAAAGAGAAATCGATCATCGATTCGAGTTACTATTAGTAATCGAATTTTTCGATCACTAATTTCGATCACTATTAACCATTTTTCTAGTAGTGACCGAATCGATAACTCGATTTTGTGACCGAATCGATGACTCGATTTGGTGGTTGATTTTCGTGATCTGAAATTTTAGTCACTAAATCAGTCACTAAATATAAAACGGGAAATCAGTCACTGATTCAGTTACTATTACTATCATTTTTCTAGTATGCTTTAATCCAAAAACAACACTCTTAATAATTTGTATAAGATTCAAATCATCTTCCTCCTATACCAATTGAGGAATCACATCGTCAATCAGGATCGAAGACTCTGCAACATTAATTTGGTTTTCCACCGAGTATAGTTGTGTAATTTGTAATTTGTCCTCTAATGTAATATTACCATCTTTTAGTATACCAATTTTGTTAAAACTTTGTCTGCACTTGGCAATAATGTGAAAATATTCAGTATTCCTGTCCCTTAACTTAAACCAGTTCATTATAACCTTGTCTCTCCATATTGCCTTTTCACATTTTAATTAGGGTCAATCTGAGATCTATCTGTGCTTGACATTCAACATCTAACAGAACACTATTTACCTCCAAAATCCTGTCAGTTTGTTGTTGAATGAGCTGCAAATTCTGTTTCATATGATGAATTACCTCATTAATCCTACCAAATATTATTCCAGAGCTTCATGGAAGTCTTGAGATTCTTTAATTTCATTCTTTAATAAAATTACTCATATGATTCAATGATTGATGCAAGTTGAAATAAAATATATGTACTGCATCACTTAATATATCTCTTATATATCTAGTAAAAGGTGGTATCTATTAATTTAAAAAAATATTAAAATGAATAAATAATAAAAAAGATGTTAATTTTAATCATTCACTAATTATAATTATATAATCAAGATTAACTCATTCTAACTTATGTATGTCCTCTCACTTAAAAAAAAAAAAAAAAAAGTCAAGAATTTAAGTCTTGTAAGTCAAAAATTATAATGAAGAATGGAACTCTACTGAAGATAATAAATTAAGTTTCCAACAAAAATGACAGAGAAATGTTAATCATGTGCCCATTCAGTGCATGTCAAGAAAAGTTAGAAATGGGAAGCTTTTTGCTGGCACGATATTTCAAGGCTAGCCTGAAACAAATTTTCCCTTGTTTATACATGTCTCACTTGATACGGATGCATACGTGGCTCAAATATATTCATGAACTTCACAAGTGTCTGCATTATTTGACCGATAATTTCGGATAAATTTTAAATTTGAATTAATTTCCACATAAGAGAAGTATTTCAATTCCATATATATCTTGTGTTGTGTTTTTCTTTTAAAAAGTAAATATCAATTATTTCTACCTTATCTAGTACTAATTATATATATTAGAAAAATGTTAGATAGATAGTTCCATTTTAATATATAATCATTTTACAATCTCTTTTAATAATTATTTTACTTTTTACATGTTTTTATTAGTTTTATTGTTATATTAAAGAAGTTTTTGTGGTAAACGGAAGAGGTTGGGTTGGGGGTGAAGAATTATCTATTAAGAATTATTTTACTCAATATAGAAAGGAAGAGGGTGGGTTGGGGGTGAAGAACATTCGGAAGATGAACAGGTCTCTGCTAGCAAAATGGAAATGGAGGTTAGGTGTCGAGTCAAAAGGATTATGGAAGGAAGTAATAGAAGCCAAATACGGGTCCTGGAGAGCCTTAGACGAACCGAAAAACATTAATAAGGATTCAAAATGGTGGCTAGATATAAAAAGAATATGTAAAGATAATGTTGGTAGAGCTTGGTTTGATAAACATGTAACATGGAAAATAGGAAATGGGGAGAAAATCAGGTTTTGGGACGATGTGTGGATTGGGGAACAGAGTTTAGGCCGCTTGTATCCAAGGTTAAAACAAATAGGACTGAACAAAAACGGGGTGCTATCAGAACATGGTGTGTGGATGGAAAACAGATGGGAATGGAGAGTAAGCTGGAGAAGACAACGTTTCGAATGGGAGAAGGAAATGGAGGAGGAAATGCTAAGTAAGATTCAGGGCGTAACACTTAATAGGGTTACAGATGATACGTGGTTGTGGGGACCGAATAAAAATGAAAGGTATATTGTAAAAGAAGCATATGAGATTCTAAACGAAGAAAATTGCAATGAGAAAGAATTGATTTTCAAATGGTACTGGAAAATTAAAGCGATACCAAAGGCCATGGTTTTAGGGTGGAGAATTCTTCAAGATAGGATACCTACTAAGGTAAATTTAGCTAGGAGAAGGGTTGATATAGGTAACCCAAAATGCGCATTGTGTGGGAGCGAGGACGAAACATCCAATCATCTCTTTTTCACGTGCAAGATGACCAGGGAGATATGGGAAAAGTGCTTTAGATGGGTGGGTATAAGCTTTGTTAGCCATTGTGAGGCGAAAGCAAGCCTGGAAAGCTTTGCATTATGTGGATTGGGAGCGAAGGGAAACATGTTGTGGAAAAGACTATGGGTAGCAGTGGTATATGAAATTTGGTCTCAAAGGAATAAATGTATTTTTAAAAATGGTAAATTTGATGCGGAAGTAGGATTTAGTAAAGTGAGTGCAAACTTCACTGCTTGGTGCGCTAGAGACTGGGATGGAGCGAGCCTAGCAAGTTCCGATTGGTTTTATGAACTGGTAAGATGTATGAGACTAATTGCCATTTAGTTTCTCTTTTTTCTGTGTTGGCTGGTATATCTCTTTTCAGGCTAAAGTGTGTAATCATGCCACAATGATGATGACTCATATAAGAAGACGGTGAGAGGGAGTATCCGAGTGCTACAAGGTTTTTTTCTCTTGTTGTAAACTTTCTTAGTGTCATCATTTTACCCGAAGCTAGTTCTCTTAGGCACCGCTGGGGTAACTGAACCTGTATCCTTGAGCTTTCGTTCTAGTGACCCAGCAGGGTTTGTTTTATTTCGTTCATCTAGCTTCTTTTAGTTGTATTTGGGTTGAAGTACCCCTTTGTACTTCTATTAATTTTATTCTTTGTTGCCAATAAAAAAAAAAACGATCGTCAATATATCACTATTCCAATATTAGTATAAATTTACAAAGGATTTGATCTTTTAGACTCTTACCTAGTGATATTTACTTTATGATGTTTAACTTCTTTTTAAGAAAAAAAAATAATTCCTATTATTTTTTTGGTAAGTCTATTTAGAGGATATTATATGTAACAAAAACTTGTGTTGGAAAATATTCCTTTAATTTCAATAGGTGTTCTAGGTTTGATAAAGTTTAGCTTCAAAAAATAAAAAAATTAATCTACTGAATGAAAAAGTTATCCAATTAATATATAGCAATTGTAACCAATGCCAAACCCACTTGTCCCTCTGTGATTTCATATCTCTCCCCACTTTCTCCATGTTCTTTACTTTATCCTTTCACTACTCTCTCTCCTACGCGTTCAGTGTTCCATCCATGGAACTACAACCCTTAGCTACCACCTCTCCATTGCAGTTCTTCAACAACCACGTTTATTTCACTTCTCTTCTCTTCACACTCACCATCCTTCTTCTACTCATTGCAATTGCACGTGTTTCTAACCAAAAGAGCATCCTCTGCAGCTGCGAAACATGCGAGGCCTACCTCACTTCAAGCTGGTCCCAACACTTCCACAACCTCTGCGACTGGTACACCCACCTCCTCCAAACCTCCCCCACCAAAACCATCCACATCCACGTGTTGCGCAACACCATCACTGCCAACGTAGAAAACGTGGAGTACATTCTGAAGACCAGGTTCGACAACTTCCCCAAGGGAAAACCCTTCTCCGCCATCCTCGGAGACTTCCTGGGCAAAGGAATCTTCAACGTCGATGGGGACACGTGGCGCTTCCAGAAGAAGATGGCCACCTTCGAACTAAACAACCACTGCATAAACTCCTTTGCGTTCGAAATCGTCAAGAGCGAAATCCACAACAGACTCGTGCCGCTCCTTCACGCCTCGACCCGAAACGGTGTCGTCTTGGACCTTCAGGACGTCTTCCGGAGATTCTCCTTCGACAGCATTTGCCGTTTCTCATTTGGATTAGACCCTAAGTGTTTGGAGAGGTCTTTGCCGATGTCCGAGTTCGCGATTTGCTTTGACTTGGCGTCGAAGCTGTCTGCGGAAAGAGCCATGGCGGTGTCGCCTTATGTGTGGAAGGTGAAGAGGTTTTTCAACGTGGGGAGCGAGAAACGGCTTAGGGAAGCGGTTATAGTGATTAACATGTTGGCCAAAGAGGTCATAAAGCAAAGGCGCGAAATGGGTTTCTCTGAAAAGAAGGACTTGTTGTCGCGGTTCATGAGCACGGTCCACGATGATGACAAGTATTTACGAGACATTGTTGTGAGCTTTTTATTGGCGGGTCGTGACACCGTGGCTTCGGCCCTCACCAGCTTCTTTTATCTGTTGGGAAAACATCCAGAAGTTGAATCTGAGATTCGTGTGGAGGCAGATCGAGTGATTGGGCCTCATGAGGATCTCACAAGCTTCGAAGTGCTTAAGCAATTGCACTATTTGCAAGCGGCGACGCATGAAAGCATGAGGCTGTTTCCACCGATTCAGTTTGATTCAAAGTTTTGTTTGGAGGAGGATGTGTTACCCGATGGGACGAAAGTGGAGAGTGGAACTAGGGTTACTTACCATCCCTACGCAATGGGGAGGTTGGAGGAAATATGGGGTGGTGATTGTTTGGAGTTTAGGCCACAAAGGTGGTTGAAGGATGGGGTGTTCCACCCCGAGAATCCGTTCAAGTACCCAGTTTTTCAAGCGGGGTTGAGGGTCTGTGTGGGAAAGGAAATGGCTCTGATGGAACTCAAAACTGTGGCACTTTCGTTGCTTCGGAAATTCCACATTCAGTTGGTGGAACCATCTTTTGGAAACCCTCGTTTTTCTCCGGGACTCACAGCCACCTTTAGTTTTGGCCTTCCCGTGAAGGTTCGTGAGAGAGGATTAGAACAACAACTGAACCCTCTCATTGACCTATCCTCGTCGTAATTACTCATCACCCACGCATAAATATATATATATATATATATATATATATATATATGTATGTATGTATGTATATATATATATATATATATTACATTTGGGGTATAGATTCTGTGAGTTCATTATAATCCATACTCCATACATATAGCATGAGATTGTTAAGCATGTGTTTAAGATCGTTGCAAATTATGTAAGTTATTAATTATATCAAGGGTGGACTGAATTATTGATCACCTAGCAAGCATATATGATCGTACAAAGCTCTTAGGCCAACTTCAGGTTTATCAAGGCTGAGTTTAGATTCTATCTAGGATACAAACTCTTTAGTCAACTTCAGGTCAATGGCATGAGTTCTTTATGAATCAACCTTGTATCAGACCGATATCAGGTTTGTATGAGCTGAATTTGGACTAAGTTGGATACTTAGAATCAACTTCTGTCACAAGTGGAGTTCCATGAGTCGATCTTGAACCCTTCCAAAATTAGGACAATATTGTACCCTAAGCCAGGATCATAGCTTTGGATTGACGAAGATATACACTTGTCCATAATACTTAGTTCAGGGATGACTTGCAGTTGGAACAACCACTCCTGAAAGAGGAAAAGCACAAGTGCAGAAAAGCAACCGACACTAGAGGTAGTAACTATCCCTTAATCTTTATATTAAATTCCTCAACAAGGGCATAGAAAACACAGTTTTGAATGGACTAAACATAACTGATCTTTGACAATTTTCTTACGCTGGAACATTTGTATTTACATTTTTTAGGTGTTTTTAGAGCATAATATATAGCACGTGATTAACTGTCATGTTTTCGAGATCCTCGTAGATTATAGATGATTGTGACGATGATATGGATGGAATATGAAGAGACGGCATTGTTTTGTGCACCACAAGTTATGGAAGTGATTAAGGAGGAAAGTGACTGGGATTTGATTAATGGCGTACGGGTGCATAAGGGCCTTATTTGCACCACTATATTAAAACAGGATGAATGTGTTGGTGTCGGTGAATTCTTGGAGGTACAAAGTTGACGTTGAACTTGATTCCTGAAGCTGGTGATCTTTGACTGTGCTTGTGGATTTTGCTCAGTGGATCCGACATTTATCTAGTGCGCCACAAAACTGTGACATAGTTGTTTTGAGTGACTTTATATATATATATATATATATATATATATATATATATATATATATATATATATATATATATATATATATATATATATATATATGTTATGTGCATAAAAATTATAGTTGTATCTGCTACAATGTTCATTAACAGTTTGTATGATTTGTTGTTTAGGACGAAAAAAAAAACCTGTTTTATTTCATAGAATTTTGAAAGGTAGCTATTTAAATTCTTCACGTTATAAAATAGTACTCCATTTTATTTATTTAGAGTTTCCATCCATCACGATTTTATTTTTAAAATGTGTCTTAGAAAATTTAAAGAAAGAAAAATATATATATAAATTATCATTTATCTCAATTCTTAAATAATATAATATATCACAACAAACTTTTTTTCTAATATTTTTCTTTTTATTTTATTTATCTTGTTTTACTCATTTGTCAATTATATATTTATCTTTAATTTAATTTTTAATTATATATATAAAAATATTATTACATATTTTTAAATATAAATATTAAAGGGAAATAAAATGAAGGTGAAGGAACAGTGTATAAGGAAAAAATAGTTAAAATAATCTTAGGGTAGTGGCAGTTAAATAATTTAAAACTAAAAAAGGTTTTATTGAAAAAGACGTTTAAAATATATTTGAAATTATTTCGAGAATATATTACTAATATTCTTAATATTATCTTTTTGGAAACTACTTCAATTTTTTACTCACCTATCTTTATGTATAAGACTGTAGAGAAAATTGAAATTCCAAGTTTCTTATGAAGGGGTTTAATATGTTCGGGATATATTGATCTAGTATTGCTTTGGCAAAATATATTTTTTATTTTAGTTAAAATTGGTTTTATTTGTAATAAATTATCAAAATTTTCCGTGTAACAATTAAATATTTTTGTTTCCAACTTTTATCTTGTTTATTTTGTCCCAATAATTCTGCCTAAATCACTTTACTTTCATGTTTAAATTTTGTGACAAAAAAATAAAAATAAAATTATTAACGATGAAAATGTTAAAACAAATTATGTTCCAGAAACAAAATCTAATTTTGGTTTTATAAATATTGGTAAATTTGGTTTTCAATGTTCAATGTTTGATTATTTTCAATGAACTAAAAATTACAAGAAAAATTGAAATTACCGATGGACAAAATCCGTCGGTAATTGTGTTATCGGTAAATTATCATCGGAAATTTTTTATAAAATATTTTTCTAAAGAAACCCCCTCTTATATTTTTAGAAATTTGAATTATAATTTAAGTTAAGTGAATTGTCACTAACGAAATTCAAATCCAAGTACTTTAGAACAAGAGGTCGATACTCTAACCACTAAGCTACCAGAATTTTTTTATTATAATTTACAATAAATTATATTTCTATACAAATAAATGTATATCCAAATAAATATATAAATACAATATATTTATATATTTATATTTTTATATTTATACATTTTTATATTTATACATTTTTATATTTATACATTTTTATATTTATGTATTTGTATATTTATATATTTGTATATTTGTATATTTGTATATTTATATATTTATATATTTATATATTTATATATTTATATATTTATATATTTATATATTTATATATTTATATATTTATATATTTAGATATTTTTATATATTTATATATAATTAAATATTTATTTTTAAAATTATTTAAATTAATAAATTATTATAAATTAATCTAATTATGATTAAATTAAATTATTAAATAAAAAAATACTTAATTTTTTAATTAGGTGAATAATTAATTTATTAGAATATATTAAGTAATTATTATACAATTTTACCAGACGGATATATTCAGTCGGTAATTAATTGTTAATTTACCGATAGATTTACTGACGGATATAAATAATTGTTAATTTACTGACGAATTTATAGACGGATATATCCGTCAGTAATTAATTGTTAATTTACCGATGGATATATCCGTCGGTAAGACTAAATTCTATATCTCATCGATAATGACCGATTTTCCGATGGCTACAAATCCGTCGGTAAAAATCCTTCGAAATACGTAATTTTCTTGTAGTGAAAAAAATATATGAACACCATAATAAAAAGAAATTAGAGGACTAGTGCAAACATATTCAATCATATTTGAATAGAAGAAAAGCACATTAAAGCCTATTTCCTTGAAAAAATATTTCCACCTAATAAATTAATGTTAATATTTTATGCTTATGAGTTGATAGATTTGGGTATTTTTAATAAGGGTCACGTAATTTTAGCTATTATAAATATTTTTATTTATTTTATACTTGCACGTATTTTTTTTATATAAATTTAAAAACTTATAAAAATTTTGTGTCATTATGAGAAAAAATTTTTACCTCTAAGTGTTATAAACAGTAACGATAATTGTGACAATAAAAAATTATGATGGTATAAATGACAAAAGAATGTCATTATTAATTACTCACAAAATTTATTACTAAAAAAAAATAAATTTGTAATTGGTGATAAATGTTGCGATAACAAATATACCATACAACAATCCTTAATTTTTGTCATCACAAACTTAATAATATCATGTTGTGTGACAAAACATAGCTTAACTGGCCGAAGCTTCACTTAAAGGAGACAAACATTACCACTTAAGCAGGTATATAGAAGGTTTAAACGCAGAATGAATCACATCATAACATTTGAATCAAAACATGTCGTGCTTAAATAAGAATATAAACTTGAGATTTCAATATTTATTTTAATCGCTTAAGTATGACAATATGTGTATAATACTTGACGTTTAAATGGGAAAACGTGAAGCAAAATAAAGTTTGTTACAATTGCTTTAGTTGGAAGCAAAACAAGTTTAGCTTAAGTGATTGTCACTTTAAACTTGTATTATTTTGCTTAAGTGATTGTCATTTTAAGTGTGTTTTACTTCACTTAAGTGAGAGATTGTGTTTTTCAATTTTTAATTTATTTAGGAAATATTTTAACAAGTTTGACGATAATACCTGAAGTGTGAAGGATGGGAACAATGTTAGAAATTAACAAAAGTCATCCAAGTCTGAACAAAAATATTTAGACTTGACCTTTGGATACAAAAAGGAGTAACATTGTCAAACCCTTCGTACTCAAAGTGATATCCTTCTATATATAAAGTATTCTCAAATTAAATGAGAGGAGTTGATCCTCATACACTAAATACATGTAGGAAAGATATTAAAAAATCTCGAGATATGCATTAATAGCTAATGCATCATAATCAATATAAACATCTTGGACAAATTTTCTTTGTACAAACTCTCCATCCTCTTTTATGTCTCTAGGTTGATACACATTAGCATAAAATTCTTTTACTATGCTTTCATTGAAATTTTTGTGTGATTGAGCCAACTTCCACCATATTTTTGTATCAAGTCTCTTAGTGAAAATTTCAAACTCTCCTTATAGCACTTTGATTCTCCTCTCAATGAATCTTCTCTTTACAAGAGAATCAAACCCTTTTTTTTATGATGTTGATAGAGAAAATGTCTTCCTCCTAACATTTTCTCATTATCTCTCCCATGATTATTTTTAAACATGTTTCCTCTCAAAGTAGTCTAACTACGTTTACTCTCACGAACTCCCTCTTGAATATGAGTGATGGTTTTAATCCTTGTCATTTACAAAATAAAACAAACAAGTAAATATAACAATAAAAGCTTCAAGTGATCATCGTTTAAGCGAGAAACACTCGTTTAAGCAAGCAAAGCACAAAATGAGGGACCCACACTTATGCTACATCCACTTTAAGCAAATAAGAGATATACTTAAGCAAAAATAGTACAAGCGAGGACATCATTTTTTAAGCAAAGTAGTTTGCTTATTCTAGACTCGTTATAAATGACGTGTAGATCGCACTTAAGCGAGACTAACATAAGCTAATAGTTTCGCTTAAACAAAGAGTCAAGTTTATCATTTTCCTCCAAATTTAAATTCGGAGTTGTAAGATAGATAAGTATGAAGAAACACAAATAAAAGATAGATATGAAAAAATAGAAACAAAAGTAGATGAAGAAATAAATCTTCTAAGCAAAAAGATAAAATAAAATTAATGTAAGTTTCAATATTTTTTATTATGAAAATGTCTTGTTGATAGAGCTTTAGAGGAATTAAATGATGTTGTTTCTAGTCATCCATCTGATGATGACATCTATATGGGTTGGATCTGTGTTAGACAAATATAAAGTTTTGTCTTATTTATCATCAAAATAGATAATATCATATGAATATGACGAGATAAAAATGTTGGTTACTAACCTATTTGAAGAAAATAAAAATTTAAAAGAAATGATAATATTTTCTCAATAACGCTCATATTTGTTCTGCAAAAAATGACTCAATTGATGTTAAAATTTCAACCACAATGCCAACAACATTTTAGTCGCACAAAATATTGATAAAAATAATAATAAACAAATTGCAAATCTAATGCGA